ATTTTACAGTTAAAATATATGTTTATTAAATAAAGTCTAATGTTACAACTAATCAGGGATCCCTTTAAAGAAGAGAAAGCAGCTTCTGTTAAACTGAAGTGAGTGAAAAGTGCTGAATAACAGCTGAAGTTTATTGAAATAGCTAAAACTGAGTTATAAATCAAAACAAGCAGAAGAGAAGCTGAAACGAGCAGAATATCAGCTAAAAACAGAAGAACACAAGCCAAAAACTAAAAGCAGCAGAACATTAGTTAGAAGGTAAAAGAAAAACAGCAGCTAAAATGTGTCAATCAGAAACTAAAATCTGCAAAATAGATGTTAAAGCTAAAACTAGCAAACCAGATTAAATTAGCCAAACGCTTTGCTAAAATAAAATAAAAAAACATAAAACAAATTTAGCTAAACTGATTAAAGCTAGATTAGAATGGGAGTTAAAAGTAAAATTGTAGCTTCCAGCACCAAAAAGTGAGCTAAAAGTGGCATAAAAGACAAAACAGATCAAGTTTGACGAAGCAGATTTTAAACTGAACAGTTTGAATGTTTGTCCATAAACCTAAATATTTTGAAAAGTACAACATTAACAAAACCCAAAAGTCTAAGAAACCATTTGCCTGAATGAGCCGATTATTTTTATATATAAACAGCTAAAACAGCATAAAACAGAACGAAGTAGCTTCATAAAAACTTTAAAGTAAACCATAAACAGGATCTTTTCTGAGGAGAATTTGTAGCTGATGATGTAGCTTTGGCTCATTTCTCTAACTGAAGCCTTGTTKTAATAACTTTTTCATGTATGAACTGGGTAAGATGTCAAACCTGACTTCTCTATATTGAATTATAATTTATGTCATATACAGATATTTCTAATAATTCAGCTAAAGAGAAAAAAMACAGCCGTCGATCAGTAGACACAGGCAAACAGCTGCTAATTCAGGTGGTATCTAAAGCAGTCTGCTTCACAGTAATATGTTTTATGTTTAATATTTATGCTTGACGTCATGTTGAACAGTAAATTCAGTCTAAGGAACACCTGTCAGTGCATGGAGATTATAGGTTTTGTATGTCAGCCGTTATTGTTGAAAATATTTTCTTCATTGAAAAACGTTTGTGTCTGATATAGTAGGTGCAGCGTAGGCATGCAAGTCGATAGCGTCTTCAATGCTAACACAAATGAATAGTCTCTTTTTCATTTGCCAGYACCAGCCTCTCAGTTACCAGCTGCTCAGTTAGCGATGCCAGCCTATCATTATTCAGATCAGCAGCTGGTTTAGGGACAGATATGGCCTCCTGCTACAAGGATGGTTGTGCAATAGTCTTAATTTTGGTCCTCATACCACACCATACATCTGCTGAAGCATTTCAAAACTCCTGATTAAATGATACAAATACCCAACAGACTGTAAGAAAATATATCTTCGCTCTGCTCTTCCTGCTTCTGCGTTTTTATTCAAAGTGTATTTCAGGAAGTAAAACAGTAGTCCAGAGGCCAGCAGCAGAGATAAAGATGACATGGTACCCTGATAGAAAGCAGCAGCATCTATCGGAGCTGGGATCTCAGGCCACTGTTCCTGGATGAGCGTGGGTGATCCTTCCATCACGCTCTGCTTTTCGTTGTACCTGAGAAACAGTGAAGACAGCAGGTTTCAATGCCTCTCAGAGAAAAAAAACAGATGATTTACATGAGTAAAAGCTGACTGAGCGCCCAGCGTCAGCAGATCAGCCGCTCTGTACTAATACGGGAAACGTTTCAGCTGCTGTGACATCAGCCCTGGAAGGAAGTGGTCTGTGTGGTCTAGTCTGGTTTACATTGGGTACATGACAAGTATGAATGATACACTATGTTTATAAATATCTTATCCCAAAATGATGCAGACAAACTGATCCACGCATGTATGACCTGCAGTTCTGATGACTTGGTATTGTGGGTAGAAGGGGGAGGATGTGACATTGTGTAGTTTTTATTACCTCCAACATTCATATCCAGTAAAAAACACAGTATATTGTTCTTCTCTGAAGTGAAGAGCAGCATCCACTGACAGTACCCTGGAAGGGAAGCCCAGGTCTGAGATGTTTCTGGGAAAACCTTCCTGAACTATTGACTGCCTCATCTTCCAGTACTGAGAACCTGAAATACAAAATATTTTGTCACGTACAGATAACACATTCGTAGGCATTATTTCCCAGGGTGCACACAACATTATATTTTACCTTTGAAAAACAAAAGGAAGTTCATTTCCACATTTTCATACACAGCATCCAAAGAAGAGGGGATGGGGTGTGGCCACAAGCTGCTGATCAACGACATCCTTGTTTCAATAAAATGTTCATGTTTGCGCCACATAAATCTGTGAAGAGACAGAAGCACATTGGCAGGAAGCAGTTATTGTATAGAGATACACCGGTACTAGTACTGAGTATCTGTTAGACTCAGATGACTTGGGAACTACCAGCTCAGAAGACTTGGAAACTGCTGGCTCAGATGACTTGGGGAACTACCAGCTCAAATGACTTGGGAACTACTAGCTCAGATTACTTGGGAACTACCAGCTCAGATTACTTGGGAACTACCAGCTCAGATTACTTGGGAACTACCAGCTCAGATTACTTGGGAACTGCTTGCCCAGCTGATTCGTAAACAGATGGCTCAGAAGACTTGAGAACTGCAGACTTGGGTGACTCAGGAACTGCCAGCTCAGATGACTCGGGTAACTGCCAGCTCAGATGACTCGGGTAACTGCCGGCTCAGATGACTTGGGAAATGCTGGCTTAGATAACTTGAGAACTGTTGACTCAGATGACTTGGGAACTGCCAGCTCAGAAGACTTGGGAACTGTCAGCTCAGATGACTTGGGAAATGATGGCTCAGATGAATTGGGAACTGCCGGCTCAGATGACTCAGGAACTGCTGGCTTAGATAACTTGAGAACTGTTGACTCAGATGACTTGGGAACTGCCGGCTCAGAAGACTTGGGAACTGTCAGCTCAGATGACTTGGGAAATGATGGCTCAGATGAATTGGGAACTGCTGGCTCAGATGACGTGGGAACTGCCGGCTCAGATGACTCGGAAACTGCTGGCTCATATGACTTGAGAACTGCCGGCTCAGATGACTTGGGAACTGCTGGCTCAGATGACTCGGGAACTGCTGGCTCAGATCACTTGGGGAACAGTTGGCTCAGATCACTTGGGAAATAAGGGCTCAGAAGACTCAAAACTGCAGACTTGGGTGACTTGGGAAGTGTTGGCTCAGATGACTTGGGAAGTGTTGGCTCAGATGACTTGGGAACTGTTGACTCAGATGACTTGGGAACTGTCAGCTCAGATGACTTGGGAAATGATGGCTCAGATGAATTGGGAACTGCTGGCTCAGATGACTTGGGAACTGATGGCTCAGATGACTTGGGAACTGCCAGCTCAGATGACTCATGAACTGCTGGCTTAGATGACTTGAGAACTGCTGGCTCAGATGACTTGGGAACTGCTGGCTCAGATGACTCGGGAACTGCTGGCTCAGATGACTTGGGGAACTGTTGGCTCAGATTACTTGGGAAATGAGGGTTCAGAAGACTCAAGAACTGCAGACTTGGGTGACTTGGGAACTGTTGGCTCAGATGACTTGGGAAATGTTGGCTGAGATGACTTGGGAACTGTTGGCTCAGATGACTTGGGAACTGTTGGCTCAGATGACTTGGGAACTTCCAGCTCAGATGACTTGGGAATGGATGGCTCAGATGACTTGTGGACTGATGGCTCAGATGACTTGGGAACTGTCAGCTCAGATGACTTGGGAACTACCAGCTCAGATGACTCGGGGAACTTCCAGCTCAGATGACTTGGGAATGGATGGCTCAGATGACTTGTGAACTGATGGCTCAGATGACTTGGGAACTGTCAGCTCAGATGACTTGGGAACTACCAGCTCAGATGACTCAGGGAACTTCCAGCTCAGATGACTTGGGAACTGTCAGCTCAGATGACTTGGGAACTATCAGTTCAGATGACTCAGGGAACTTCCAGCTGAGATGACTTGGGAATGGATGTCTCAGATGACTTGGGAACTGATGGCTCAGATGACTTGTGAACTGTCAGCTCAGATAACTTGGGAACTACCAGCTCAGATGACTTGTGAACTGATGGCTCAGATGACTTGGGAACTACCAGCTCAAATGACTCAGGGAACTTCCAGCTCAGATGACCTGGGAATGATGGCTCAGATGACTTGTGAACTGATGGCTCAGATGACTTGTGAACTGTCTGATCTCAGTGAACCTGGCCAGGAACTGAGGAACTAGTAGACTTTGGGTCGGGTACTCCAAAAATGTGGTGTACAATACAGAAACAAGCAACAGACAAACCAACAGAACATGAAAACAAACTAATGAACCCAAATACCCAACACCTGTGCAAAAACAACTAAAATTAATGTAGTTGGGTGTCGCAGAACTGAACTAAACTAGAGCACAGACTAATCAGAAATACTAAAACAGAACCAAAATACACAGTGAACTCTAAACAGAAACCTAGATTATGATATTTGTCATAGAAGAGCTACTTTGAAAGGTGTAAAAAAAGACTTGGTGCTCTTGAGAAAGACTGTCCACGTCCACGAAGCACAATTGATCTGAACCAATTGAAAATTGAAAACTCCAGTGCCAGGACTGTATGCCTTTGTGAGTCATGAGGAGAGAAACTGCAGTGACACTCTGGAGATGTCTTTGGTCAACTAGTCTCAGCCCAAAGATACCCTAAAGCATCTAAAGAACCAACACCCACCATGTTCTTAATTAATTAAATTAATGAGGCCTATCCTGTCAGGAAGATGCTGTAGCAGTCAGATAGTTTGAAACCTTCTGCCTCAGTCCACTCTCACCCTGAAGATATTCAGGGACAGCTTAACTGGTCAGTTAAAGACCTCAACAGTAGTGTTGTAGTCAAGACCACCTAACCTGAGACTAAGTCAAGACCAAGACCACAGTGTCTGGAGACTGAGACAAGACCAAGACTTTTAGGGTTTGGACCAAGTCGAGACCAAGACCAAGGGAGGGCGAGACCGAGACAAGACCAAGACCAGATGGAAAAAAAAGTTTCCTAAAAGATGGAGTATTCTGTACACATGTACAGTGGGGGGATGTTTAGTCTTTCATAGTTGCGGTCTACCTATGATGTCAATYACAGGCCTCTCTCATCTTTATAAGTGGGAGAACTTGAACTATTGGTGCTGAATAAACACTTTTCCCTCACTTTAGCTAACTTAATACATAGAGCTAATATTGACAAAATCTTTGTGTGAGGGCAGAGGAAAGAATTTTGCTACAGAGGCAGATTGTTAACGTTAGTGACGACAAAAGTTTAACGTTGTCCCCAGTTTCTGAAAGTGAAGCACTGCCAAATTTACAAGTTGCTGTAGGCTTTCTCCTGGTTGTTGTTGTTTTACAATGATATTATTTATGAATAATGTAGCCAAACTTTTTACTTAAAATTTTGAAGACATCCTTTACCGCTCCCAGAGAACCATGGTTCACTTTCCGGGAGGGCCGCATGCAAGTGATGGGAGGTGCGGATGGGTGACAGCCAGTAACAAAAATACATAAATAGCAATAAGTCAGGTTTGGATTTGAATCAGCAGCTACATTTCAAATCCAGTGAAAGCAAGATTGTTAACTAATAAATTGGACAATAATCTGGCTGTTTAGTGATATTTCCGTAGTTGTGGTCTTGACTGGTCTTGAAATAAAATTCYGAGTCCTCAATGTCCGAGACAAGACTGAGTACAAATGCTGTCGAGTCCGAAACAAGACCAAAACCATCAAAAAGTGGTCTTGAGACCAGTCTTAAGACCAAGACCAGTTTCAAGTATTACAACACTACTCAACAGATTTCAGCAGACTTTGCAAGAGACATTCACGTTTATGAACTTCATGTCCAAAAAGCCCCCACTGGATGATCCCACACTCACTTTCAGTCAGGTAAAATGTTCTTTGTAAGAAATGAGTCACTGCAGAAAACAACTTGTTTGTGTCTCAACACTATTCCACTCCTTTACAATTACAAGCACACAAGTGATGACATCACTTAGGGACTGAGTTATGAGTGAGGAGTCAACACTGCTCAGTGAGCAGAAAGTGGTCCTGGGAATACCCTGATCTGAGCTGGCACTTCCAGATCAATTCACCACATGAAAATGAAGCTTTTCTCATTTTCAAAGCAACTGTAAAAAGTGGAATGGTTTTATTAATACTTGTAGTGGTTCTCAGTATCGACCATTACTTATATGTAAGTATTCCTACTATGTGCAGCCTGTTCTTTATAACATGGACACATGCAGCAAACGTGCCCACCTGTCTTTGAAAAACACGAGCTCCTGCTGTAACCCTGTTACTGCATCAAAGGACAGATCCGGGTCACATTTTTCAGGTGTTCTTGGAGGAGACCATTTGGAGAGTCGGGAATTAAATCTGGGATTTGTACCTGTAGGGAAAACAAACAGCACTGTAAGCCAAACAGAATTCAAATCAAAAGAAGAAATGAATAAAAACTTTAAAAATGCTATTTTTTAGAAAGTATTTTTATTTTAAACACGATAGAACTTGACGTCAACTGGCACTGATGTCCCCTGTCGCCATTCGAGAGTAAACAACTGTTAGCAGTTTTGTTGGAATCATCACAAACCTTCTTTATTTAGCTGGTTTCCCGAACAATGCACACAAAATTGTGCACAGATTGAGTTATGATTTATAGCTAARTGTGTGTACAGTGGGCATGGCTAAATTCATATTGTCAAACTATCACACAAACGTGTTGAGCAGGTGTCCCTGATGTTGCACACACTATTAGGTGCAGATCTGTTCATGTATGTGTGATTTAGAACTAACTGTGTGCAAACGGCAAGGCATCAGCATTTTGCCACTCACCCACACCATCCCACCACCAGTCAGTGTTGAGAGAAGCATGCAGAATAGTGAAGTCTGCATGTTCAAAGCTGTAGGAGAGGGGTGGGCAATCCTAGTCCTCGAGGGCCGCAGCCCAGCAGGTTTTGTGATTTTCTCTGCTCCAACACACCTGATTCAGACTTCGATTTACCAAGTTCTGCAGTATGGAGGACTGACACTGACATAACTAGAAAAAAGTAGAAATATATAAATGGACCAAAAATAATTCAATTAAAAATGTGCCAATTAAATTAAAAAAGGAGAGCTTTATCTCACGTTTTATAATTTAATTGAGCTTCATATTTATTTTTCCAACTTAGTTCCAACTAATAATATATTTTTGCACATAATTTACATTTTACTGTTTTTATACTGTTTTTAATATATAATTATATAT